CTAGTTTTATATTAATTTATGGAAAAAAATAGTTTCTAAAAATAGTTTAAATATATTCTAAGTGAGGAAGTTAGTACAAAAATTAAATTAATCTTTTTATTTTGTAGAATAGATTCAATAAAGATTTAATCGTTTAATTATTTAGTTGAAGTATTGATATGATTAATGATTTATGTGATAGCTTCAAATGAATAGAGTATTACTATCATATTGGTTAACAGTGTAGTAACCCTAAATTAAATATGAATTTGAAAATCTTTATTTTTTAGAGAATGCATAAATAGAGTTAAATAAATTAAATGATTTAATTTTACATATATACTCTAATTTTTTCTTTAATAATTTTGATTAATTATAGAATATGTAATTAAGCATCTTTATAATAATTTTAATTTACAAGTCAGAAGGCACTAGACGACAATTCAACTTGGTTGTGATTAAGAATCAGTTTGAGAAACAATAAATGATAAAATTTTTAAATTTCATCAATCAAATGCTTATTTATTATTCCAAGCATTACTTTTTTCTCTTGTTTATGTTGTAACATAAAATGAAAATATTGTTTCTTCCATTATTGATAATGGTTTATTACTGTTGTATTATTTTGATTTGTCATTGTATTTATTTAGAATTCTAATTAGTATAAATTATTTAAATTTCGGCACCAATGGTTGATGTATTTAACAATTAAAACCCTAAAATATTTTAACTAATTAAAATATTGATTTATCTCTAAAAAATTCAAATTTTCGATCTTCATTTAATTAGATCATTAATAATTTTTAAATCAATATAAATATCAGAAGAAAATCAATAAGTGTAAAGAATAACAGTATGCAGATTATGATCTTTTGAAATTTTAAATATTCTACTAAAATTACATATTAATTTTATTATTATATATTCATGAATTAACATAATCATTAATCATTCAAAATAATCTTATAGAATCAAAATGGTATTCAATTAATATTGAATTATTAAACGCTTTTTAACCTATTGTTCTTAGAAATTGGAATTAATATTTAATTACATTTATCATTATCATCATTTTTATAAAAATATTCACCTTTCTATTCTCAAATATACCCATTTTAATAAGTTTTATAATAAAACAATCCACCTAGATTTAGTATTTTGTAAATAAAAACCTTATTTTTATATTTATAGACTATTAATAATTATTAAGTATTTTAATAATAACTTTATTGTTACTATTAGCAATTTTGACTTTATAAAGTAAGCTGTAGTCAATCTTCCTAAATATCAAACTGAATTTATTTTGTACTGAATCCAAAATTTAAATAGAAACATAAAAAAGTTTTATTCAAAATAAAATTTAATTGTATTAAGTTATTAAATCTTTAATTGAGTTCTATATTTTGAAAACAATTTATTACAAGATTAAAATATAGTTTAATAAATATAAAATTCAATATGTATTTACTAATTTAAATATATTAACCAATTATGATTTGATACTATTTTTAATGATTAAATAAAAAAGTAATAGAAA